AGTCTTTACGACTCTTGGCTCCTGCAGAGAGGTGATCAGTTATGCACCAGCTGCGGGAGAGGTAAAGGCCATAACCTGAGGAATCTCTCTCATCATCTCGATACTAAAACCGACAGAGCTGGGGTCCCCAGGCCTCCTGTCCCATTGCAAAGTGTCTGAGGTTTCGAACAGCGCTGCAGGGTTCAAGTCAGCTGCAGTTCTCTCTGTATAAGATCCCGGGAGAAGCACTCGGCTTCTCAGCGAGGAGGATGGCCACGTGCGTGCGTCTGTTCTTTGTATGTGAGCGGCGCCATAGTTTTGTCTGCTTGCCTTTCTCTCCCGGGGGTTGAATGCTTTGTGACAATAGACCGTACGCCGTTGAAGTAACAGCACTGTTGCCTCTATGGGAAGGTGCGGGGCTAGCCCGGATAAATATACGCCCCTATATCGGCTGAAGCAGAAGCATGTGGTTAGAAGGCACGTTGGAGAATGGTGAGACCTGTGTGGGCTTGCCCTGATGGCCCAGTGGTTTAGACTCGATGCTACCCACGCAGGGGGTCGTGGGTTTGATCCCTGCTCGGGGAATCAAGATCCCACACGCCGTGTGACACGGCCACAAGATTAAAAACAAGAAGAGGAACTGCCTGGGTTCCACTTCCAGGATCGACCGTGAGCTGCCGTCCACCTCTGGCTCTAACCACAGGAATTAGGGCAGGCCCCCGCGAGACCCCACGGAGACCATCCTTTCTGTGGAGCCCCCGCACCAAGGTCATAGGGGTGGAGCCCTGTAACCAAGGCCACGGGATAAAAGTCCCTGGAATGGACCGAGCCCCACAGCACGTGTTGCCGTGAACTTCTGGATCTAAAGCGGCCCCTCCGCTGACCCCGTGTTAGGTAAAATACCCGCTGTACCTTCCACCGCATAGCATCCTAACCCGTCACGTCACGCTGCCATTCCAGCAGGGATTTTCTCTGTCTTGAGGCTATAAAAATTGGCTGCTACCCCATGAAAGGGGTCTGCTCTGCTTCGAGCAGGCCCGCAGTTCTAACAGCCTCTCCTACTCTGATAAACTCTGTTCTCCTCTCGCTCCACCTCATGTCTGGAAATTCTGTTCCAGCCCGCACACGGACTTATCACACACGGACACGACCCCTATTTCAGAGGCGAGCCACACCACGTGAGTCCACAGACCGCCTGTACTTTGGACCGATGTGCTGTAAATTCAGAGGTTCTCCTGAACCCCTGGTTCTCAGATTCGCTGGAAAGGCTGGTAGCACTCACGGAAGAACCATATGTAGTGTTTTATTACAAAAGATGCACACAGGCTGAGGTCGGGGCGTGAACCCATCGCTTCTGAGCCTCTCCCCACGGAATCAAAACCCTCATCCTGCAAATTGTCCGCAAGGAAGGAGGCTCCTCTGAGGCCCCGTGCCCAGAACCCTCCCGGAGGGGGGTGTGTGTGTGTGTTTAATTATTTATTTTTAATTGAAGTGCAACTGCTTCTCAATATTGGTTTCATGTCTGCCATCCATCAGCATGAGTCAGCCATATATACATATGTCCCCTCCCTCTTGAATCTCCCTCCCTCCCCATCCCACCCCTCTAGGTTGTCACAGAGACCCCGCTTTGAGTCCCCCCCACCCACCCCCAGTCATATAGCAAATGGAACACAACTCACTGAGGTTTTTTATGTGGTGGGTACCTTTCAGTGACCGGAGGCTTGGCTGAATGCAGCCTCCACCCCCTCCTGGGTCCCTGGTGGTGGAGCGGCTGGAAGTCCCAACCTGTTTACCATGTCAGTAGTTGGTCTTTCTGGTGAGCCGCCTCCTTCCTGAATCCGCGTGGGAGACTCTGCAGAGAGACCTCATCAGCGTAAGGAAGAAATCCGTATCACTCCGGAAGTTCTGGGGGCTTTTCTGTCTCAGGAGCCTGGGACGAAGGCCAGGCCAGATGACTTATAGCCTGTGTGTGTCAAGAGTGAAGGCCAGCACAGGGCTGAGTATACGGCCGCCGGGGTCAGAGGAGGCGGGGGGCAGGCGGCAGGCGACACTTTGCCTGTCAGTTGTCAGCCTCCTGAATTTGAACCGTGCCCAGGTGCGTGTAAGCTTTGTCATTCCCACTGTTCTCGCCCCTCAGAAGAAATTCCAGGAGAGTGACCAGCGCTTCCTGTGCCCCTGCATACACTTGCCTCTGAAACGAAGTTGGGGTGTTAGTCGCTCAAGCTGTGTCCCACTCTTTGCGACCCCGTGGACTGTAGACCCCAGGCTCCTTTGTCCTTGGGATTCCCCAGGCAAGAGCACTGGAGCGGTTTGCAATGGCCTCCTCCAGGGGGATCTTCCCCACGCAGGGATCGAACCCAAGTCTCCTGCATTGTAGGTAGATTGTTTACCGTGCCTCTCTTGACTTTTCTCCAATTAACCACGTTGTTTGTGTTTACTCTGTCCCCACACCCCCTCGACACCCATTCTTTGGGGGACATTTTTATTTGTCTTTCTCCCAGCTCAAGAATACTTCCTGTGCCCCACAGTGAATGATGGGTGGTTTGTTTTTGTTTAGTGAATCAACGGGTTGTTGAATTTCTGCAGGTTTCAACCTTTTGCTTTCACTCTGAGCAGACCTGTACAGAATAGGCGTGCACATTTTATCATTTCAGGTATCTTTATCTGTGAGGCAGCCAACTGAACGTCATCTGTTTCCTAGTGACTAGGCATCGTCTCCTTCCTCCCGTTGTTTACTACGAAATGCAAGCAGATTTTCATTTCATTTCGGTATGTGTCGGTGTCGGAACATCTGACTTCTTCATTGGCTTATTTGAGTCAAAATGTCAGGAATCAGGTAGAAAATCAAAGCTGAAGCAGAAACATGGGGCCCGTAGTGGATATGCCTGAGACTAGTCACTCAGTCGTGTCAGACTCTTTGTGAACTGTAGCCCACCAGGCTCCTCTGTCCGTGGAATTCTCCAGGCCAGAATACTGGAGTGGGCAGCCTTTCCCTTGTCCAGCAGATTTTCCCTACCCAGGGATCGAACCCAGGTCTCTCCCATTGCAGGCAGATTCTTTACCAGCTGAGCCACCAGCGGAGCCCAAGAATACTGGAGTGGGTGGCCGTTCCATTCTCCAGGGGGTCTTCCCCACCCAGGGGTCAAACCCTGGTCTCTCACCTTGCGGGCAGATTCCTCACTGCCTGAGCGACCAGGGCAGCCCCTCAGTGGGTATAAGTAACCTCTGTTGTGTTTCCTGAGACCCCTGACCCATCTTTGCCGAATTATTCCATTTTGCAGACAGGTCTTAAATCTACAAATCGCCGAGAGATGCCACGTTCCATGTTTAGACACGGCAGTATGGTTATTCTAAGAGGGCCCTTCCCGTGATCAGACTTCAGGTGTGAAGTTTCAGATATCACTGGTTGGCATTGCTAGCGTCTGCCAGTCACTCATTTAGGAAGACGGTTGAGGACGGCCGTGGGTTGCAGGATTAATTCGAGACCAGCACCATCTGGCAGGGTAACGAAACAGGCTGGTGTGAAGTCCTGTGCGCTGACCACCACTCGATTGCCTGTACATGTCCTTAGTGTCTGGATTTCAGAGCTGGAAGGGCTCAGGGCTGATCAGTGACGTTCCGCGAGCCTCCCGGGGGAGCCTGGGGTGGGAGGTACGTAAGGCGGTGTTGTAGGGGAAGGTGAGAGGGTGCATCACGAAGGCGGGAGGAGACCCTCGTTCAAGCTCAAAACAAGCAAGCTTTCCTCTTGCTGTTTCCTGTTGTCGTTTTTCTGCTTCTGTCTTCAGCTGCTCATACGAGGCTCACTCACCCAGGACGGCCATGCGCTTTGTTCAGTCTCCTCATAACAGACGTTTGTCTCAGCCACACGCCGCCTTCAGAGACGCGTGCAGAATCATGTTTGACCAAACGTCTCGGTGCCCCATGGCCCAGTCAAGTTGACCCCCAAGTCTCACAGGTGGAGAGGGGGTTCCGTCCCTTCTGTAGGTCGAGTGGCGTTCTCTCCACCCTCCTTGTACCTCTCAGAGCTGGTTCATCTCTGCAGTGTCTGTTGTGCAGACTTTGTACTTAATGGTGCTGGGACGGAATGTACAAGTTTAGTGATGTTGTTCCGCGAGACTCCAGCGCATCTTCAGCTCCAAGTGGACTTTGAGAGGAGCGCAGTGGTCATTGAGCTGGATGGCTGGTCCTGTTCCTGGGGCGGCTGGGGGGTCTCCCGCCCAGCTCCTGTGTCTGCCAAGGGAGCCAACGATGCCTCGTCCAGCCCAGAGGTCACGTCAGCAGCCCAGGAGAGGACCGCCTGGCAGATGAGGTTCTGTCCTGGTCAGTTCACTCAGATAGGGGCACGTTGGGTGCTGATTTGTGGGCTGGCACCTGCCCGGTTGCTCAGGGGGCTGGCCAGCGGGAGACCCGGGTCTCCGTGGCTGTCTCTTTATCTTCCCCATCTTCCCCACAGCATCATGGGGCAGGCCCTCCTGGAGTTACCCCAGCCTGTTGTTCAGGTTCAGAGGCTCAGGTCGCTGTCCTTTGCGTTGTGATCTCCCCCGCCCTCCCGAGGGAGCAGAGGACACCGGAAGCTTCCTTCAACAGAAGTAGATAAAGTGGCTTGGCTCTTAAAACGGATGTCCCACCTTCATCGTCCCACACACAGTGGCCCACACTTATCCTCCCAGCAGTTGGAAACTTGTTGTTCAGTCGCTCAGTCGTGTCTGACTCTCCGTGACCCCATGAACTTCAACATGCCAGGGCCCCCTGTCCATCATCAACTTCCGGAGCTTGCTCAAACTCATGTCCATTGAGTCAGTGATGCCATCCAGCCATCTCATCCTCTGTCGTCCCCTTCTCCTCCCACCTTCCATCTTTCCCAGCATCAGGGTCTTTTCCAATGAGTCAGCTCTTCGCATCAGGTGGTCAAAGTAGTGGAAAAGGTAGATGTTGCTTAAAATAAGGGCGTCGTGGACTTGGAGAGGGTCCCTGGGGGCAGTGTGCGATTGCTCCGTCATTTCACGGAGGGACTCACTCACGGCTCGGCCAAGGTGTTTTGCGGTTTAGGAAAAAGCAGAGCTGCTGTCTGCAGGCCCAGGTTTTTGGACTTGGTGATGCCGTGGATGACGCACGCCCGTGACATCTCTTGTTTCCCAATGCCGACAGGCCAGCTACCATCTGATGTCCTCACTGTCCTGACCTGTAACCACACCATAGGAGGCCGGTACAGCAGAACTTAACATTTTTCGTGGAGCAGGCTTACAAGGGCTCCCTGGTTCTAGTGATCATGAAATAACATTTTCAAGATCATGTAATTAACCAGGTTTATTTTATATGCTTTCTCCCTCCCCCCCTGGCCCCCCCCCCCGCCCCCGCCAAGGAAACTTAGAGTAAAATTCTGCCCACACCTTATTTTCGCGTTGATAAGATGCCACCTGCTCCATGCCCCATCACCAGCACGTCTGCCGTCTTTGGTAATGAGATTCTGAAGCCGAGAGAGAAGCAAGGATAACGCCTAATTGCTTTTGCTTCTCTGGAGACGCCGAAAGCAGTGTCAACATCTGGCATTGTATCCTTGCTCCAACAGCGATTGGCTTTTCTGAAAGCAGCTCCTCTTTCCGGATGTTGCAATTCCTGCACCCTCTTCAGAGATGCTTCGCAATTCAAGACAGGAAGTGATCATCTTTTCATGAGAAGGTGATTTTTTTTTTTTTGATGGGTGGGGAGGTGTGAGGGTGTAGGTTCTAGGAAGTATGTTTCCTTAAAGAATGCTAATTTTCTAGGGGAAAGGATTTCAGATGCGTACCTAGCTGTATGGTTATAGAAAGTGAAAGTCACTCAGTCGTGTCTGACTCTTTGCGACCCCATGGACCGTACAGTCCATGGAATTCTCCAGGCCAGAATACTGGTGTGGGCTGCCTTTCCCTTCTCCAGGGGGTCTTCCCCACCCAGGGATCGAACCCAGGTCTCCTGCACTGCAGGCGGATTCTTTACCAGCTGAGCAATGAGGAAAGCCCAAGAATACTGGAGGGGGTAGCCTATCCCTTCTCCAGGGGATTGTCCCGACCCAGGAATTGGACCCAGATCTCCCTCATTGCAGGCAGATTCTTTACCAGCTAAGCCACACACATAAGTTAGATGCCAGCAAGATTTTATTAAAAATGAGTGAAAACAGACGATTGCATTTATTTCCCCCCTTTATCTTTTTCCCTAAAGAGGCTACTGCGTTTTTGTCAGATGCAGATTCACAGGGTTGTTCATTTCATTTTTCTATATGATACGTTGTGTGTGCAGGCATGGGGTTGTTGGGCTAACCTCATTTTAGTGTTTTTATCTACACCTCCAGAGGGTGACGGTGGGGTGTCAGTGACTTCATTTTAATGGGCTTGTTTGGTCAGAGCTGACATAAGGGACAGGTATCTTTGGAGAGGCCCTGAAGAATTTTCTCTCCTTCAGGGACGGTGAGCAAATACTTTACAAGACTCCAAAGTGGTAGGCTGTAAATTTAGAATAATGTTGTTTGTAAGGTAAATTGCTGAAACCAGCATTCTCATTTATTTGTCCTGCTCACGTGGGCCCTCCTGCTGCTAGGTGCTGCATGCCTGGTCTGAGATCGCAGGTAATTTATCACCTAGATTAATTAAATGCTTTGATTCCGTGGTTTCCTTTAGGATCTGTGACGAATTGGTGTTGGCCTGAATTTCAATTTTCAGTCTAAAGACAGTAATCCTTTACCCTGGGACATTGTAATAACTGCAACCGCAGGCTCCAACCTTGCATGTTAACCCTTTTTTTTTCTTTTTAATTTTATTGAGCTAATAGTTGATTATATTGTGTTTAATTGCTGATGTACAGCAAAGTAATTCAGTTATACATATACATATATATATATATATATATATCCATGCTCAGTTCCATTCAGTCGCTCAGTCATGTCCTACTCTTTGTGACCCCATGAATCGCAGCACGCCAGGCCTCCCTGTCCGTCACCAACTCCAGCAGTTTACTCAAACTCATGCCCATCGAGTCGGTGATGCCATCCAACCATCTCAACCTCTGTCGCCCCCTTCTCCTCCTGCCCTCAATCTTTCCCAGCATAAAGGTTTTTTCCTAATGAGTCAGCTCTTTGCATTAGGTGGCCAAAGTATTGGAGTTTCAGCTTCAGCATCAGTCCTTCCAATGAACATCTGGGACTGATCTCCTTTAGGATGGACTGGTTGGATCTCCTTGCAGTCCAAGGGACTTTCAAGAGTCTTCTCCAACACCACAGTTCAAAAGCATCCATTCTTCAGTGCTCAGCTTTCTTTATGGTCCAACTCTCACATCCATACATGGCTACTGGGTAAACCATAGCTTTGACGAGATGGACCTTTGTTGACAAAGTAATGTCTCTGCTTTTTAATATGCTGTCTAGGTTGGTGATAGCTTTCCTTCCAAGGAGCAAGCGTCTTTTAATCTCATGGCTGCAGTCACCATCTGCAGTGATTCTGGCGCCCCTTCCCCAAAATAAAGTCTGTATTTATATATGTGTAGTATGCTTTTATACTCTTTTTCCATTGCAGTTTATCACACGATAGTGAATACAGTTCTTCCTGCTCTGGAGTAGGATGTTGCGACTCAGGAAGCCCATGTATACTGTTTTTCGTCTCCTCACTGGAAAACTCCCAGTCCTTCCCCCCACCCCCACCCCAATTCCCTCCTCCTTGGAAACCACAAATCTGCAAACAGAACAGATATTTTTTAACGTGCGATAAAAATTCTTATCTTCTCCTTGTCCACAGTGTATTTGAATTTTAGATATTGTGGTAGTTCCTTGAAAAGACTTTCTATTTAAGCAAAACATTGTTATTTTTATTGTTGTTTATTTTTTTTTCCTTTTTTGGGGGAGGGGGTGTGTGGCCAGGCACAGCTTGAAAACGATTTCTGTTTCAGACCTTTCCATTACTGTGCCTTGGTCTTGAAAAATAGACTTGCATCATCTAATGTCAGCTCCCGACAACCTGCCTTTGAGAATGTTGACGGTATTTCGGTGACATTTTCATGATTTCTGCTGAATACATTGAGCTCTTATCAGAATTTATATGCTATCCAATGATGCCTCTGAAATCATTCATTTTCCTATTTAGCAAAGAGCCTCTGCAACTAGGAACTTAGAATTCAGATGTCCACGGGTCTTCAGGAAAACTGGCCACCTAGTTTCCTGTAGAGTGTCTTTATAGTTTCAGGTCCACACGAGTGGACTCAAGAGGGATGATAACCTCCAACTAGGGAAAGATTAAATTATCATTATTGGGTGAAACCAGACATGGTCTTTGGGTGTAAATTACGAGCGGCAGAGAAGAAAGAGTGTGAGCTGGTCCCCAAGCCAGCTGGGGGCAGTTATAATCTCTTTGGATTTCATTTCCTCATCCATAAGATGACTCACTTCCCTGGTGGTTATTAAAGGCTAAAAAAATATAATGTATACAGAGTACTCTGTAGTGTTGGGAACCTCTCAGACATGCAGGAGGTAGGACCCTTCAGCACACGCTTTTATCGTCCGGAATTCCGGAGTGTAACGGAGAATTTCAAGGCGAAGGTCAGCGAGTGAATACAGCGGCGATGGAAGATGGGATGGTCTTGGGGGAGAATTCCCTGAAAGAGGGGGCGTCAGAGGGAGCAGGCGTTTGAGGAACCTCAGAACTGTGTACCTGAGTCTTCCTCACCAGAGATAGCACTAGGGCAACACTTAAAAAAAAAAAAAGAAGAAGAATTTCCAGTGTTTCATGGACCAACACTTGTGAACCAAGTGGATTAGGAGAAAGATGAAGCTACAACAGCTACAGAGCGTAAGCTTGCATTTTCACCATGAGAGTCACCAGACAGACGGTTGCTGGATGCGTGGATTCAATGACTGATGGGGTGTCCTCTGGTGGGAGAGAGAGCTTGGGAAAAGAAACATGTTACTCACGTTTTTTTTTTTTTTTTAATTATTTATTAATTGCTTTACAATATTGTGTCAATTTCTGCCACACACCAACATGAATCAGCTGTAGGGATATCACCTGTCTTGAACCCCCCTCCCACCTCCCATCCCATCCCATCCTGCCCGTCTAGGTGGTCACAGAGCCCCGGGATGAGCTCCCTGAGCCATGCAGCAAATTCCCACTGGCTGTATTTTGTATGGTAGTGTACATGTTCCCATGTACCTTAGGGTTTAAAAGCTAGAACGTGCACCTTGGAGAAAGAGGCAGCGAAGAAAGTGTACCATCAACCCAAGGGTTGAAGGATGCAATAGCTTACGCTTTCATCACAATGAGGACGGTTCCATGTGTGCTTGGACAGCCTTGGGGAAACACGCAAGGATCATCTGCCCTCCTCTGCCTGGAAGGCTTGACGTACAGGATGCAGCGTGGATGTGACTGATAGAAAGGGAACCGGACACTTAGGGGAGAAACTCTCCTAATTGGAGCCCTCCCCCCCGCCCCCCCGCCCCCGAGGGGCACAGTGTGATGAGCCATGCACGGCCTGAACTTCAGCTTTGTCACTCTCCCGATGAAGAAATACTCAGACCCAGACAAGGTAGAAGGTTTGACAAGCACATTTTGCTGGCAGAATAACAAACAGCTCACAAACAATCCCCAAACAGCAAACTTCCCACTTTCATGCTTCACCTACTAGAATAGTTGCCCCTTCCCCGGCAGACTCATATTATTTAGGGTTAGTTGTTGCTGTTGTTCAGGTTTGTGTCCGACTCTTTGTGACCCCGTGGACTGCAGCACACCAGGCTTCCCTGTCCCTCCCCATCTCCTGGTTTGCCCAAATTCATATCCGTTGAAGCAGTGATGCCATCCAACCATCTCATCCTCTGTCGTCCTTTTCTCCTCCCGCCCTCAGTCTTTCCCAGCATCAGGGTCTTTTCCAAGGAGTCGGCTCTTCCTAGCAGGTGGCCAGAGTATTGGAGCTTCAACTTCAGCATCAGTCCTTCCAAAGAGTACTGAATCTCGAATGTACTCCTCTGTACTGAGTGTGATGTACTGATTTTGTGGTGGTCAGAGTCAGTCACCAAACGGACTATCACGAGGGTTGTGTGAAACCAGGAAGTCTGGATGAAGAAGCCGAATGTGCCAGAACCATTTGGAAACTCTTGAAATATACGTATCTGAACCTACACCGATCCAGCCTGGGCAGCTAGAGATGTCATCAACGCAGAGTCCTTCTACCTCGTTCTCCCCTAAGTTTCTCAGAGATTGTTGGTCTGAGGTGTCCATGTGACTGTTTCAATTCTGGGAGACAGATGGCAGAGGCGGGAAGCTTTCATCCGCTTGCCTTATTTTGAGCACTTGTCCACACTCAAAACTGCAGCGTTAAATGGGTTAAGTTGCCTGGATCTTGAAATGTTACTCTAAAGAAGGACGGTAAACATTCTTGGAAGATTTTCTCCTTCCCTACAGTTCCATTTTATTTTCTTTCCAAATAATTAAAAAGGCTCTGCAAATACCATTTTGGTGAACAACTACTCCCGGACAAGGGGTAAAGAACTAACCTCACAGGTCATTTCCATCCTTGGGGTCATGGCTTCACGTGTAACTCTGGCGGCAAAGCGGTGGACGAAACGGTCCTGTCTTTATTTTTATACAAAAGCGTGGTTTTAATAAGAGCCTGAGTGTGTATGCATGTATTTAAATTTTGATTATGCATTTACATTTCTATTGTGTTGAGATAATTATAGAGCACATGTATATGTATGAGGTATATCGAGTCTTAACAAGGAAATATACAGAAGGTCTTTAGCCATCCCTATTTACACCTCTCAGGTTGCTCTGCCTGCCTGGGTCAAAAGTGGATATATATGCAAACAGTTCTTTTGTGCCTGAACTAGAAAAAAACATCTAGGAGTCAAAGATCACTTTTCTAGTGTATGTCCATATACGGGTACGTAAGTAGGTAGTTGAGATAGATACATAGATTGCTGTTGTTGTTTAGTTACCAAGTCGTGTCTGACTCTTTGCGACCCCATGGACTGCAGCACGCCAGGCTTCTCCGTCCATCACCATCTCCTGGAGTTTGCTCAGACTCATGTCCATTGAGTTGGTGATGCCATCCAACCATCTCATCCTCTGTGGCCCCCTTCTCCTCCTGCCTTCAATCTTTCCCAGCATCAGGGGTTCCACGTACTGTGTGTTGACAGAATTCCACATTCTGGAGCTGCACGTGTCAACAGTCTGAGCCCCTGTGACTTCCCCTCTGAAAGTGCCAGATTCGAGGGCAGAGAAGAAGATAAATACTGAGGCATGCAGAGGGTGAATGGTGCGTCCAGGGTTTGGAAATGCCTTCCGTGTGTGTGTGCGCGCGCGCTCCGGAACCCGATCTGCTGAAAGTAGACGTCTGAGTTTTTTTTCCAGTGGGACAGAACTAGCCTCTTGCAAGGAGGAGGAGCCCCACTGTGGAGCTGTGACTCTTCTGCCGTAAAACCTAGATTATTGTTCTCGTGTCTCCACCACAGTGGCTGCCTTCTTCCCTCCATCAGAGCGTCCCCGTCACAACTCAGACAGCTGTGTTGGCAACCCACTTCTCATCGGATGCAAGCCTCTGGGGCTGGCAGAGTTTTTTTTTTTTTTTTGCCCTGCTCAATCCACAGGGTGTGTTGCTTGTCCTTGACTAGAGGTGAAAGATGTAGCCAAAGGTTGGGAGGATCTCCAGGCTGATCATCTATCCTCTTGGCCACATTTCTTTTTTTTTTTTTTGAGTGAATTAAAAAAAAAAAAAGCTTTATTGCTTTGCCAGGCCAAGAGGGCCACAGAAGGCTAATACCCTCAAAACTATGTGCCTCCAACCCCTGGGGGCTTGTGAGGAGTTTTATAGTCAAGGGGCTGGGCTGCTGACAAGGATGAGGGTGCATGCAGGGCCCACATTTCTTCAATCCAGAGATCATCTGGTGATGAAGGATGAGCTGTGATCATCTCTGGAATGAAGAGGGCTTCATCAGGTGGTTAACATCTTCCATTTGGTGGAGAGTTGTGTTCTGCTGCGAAGGCTCAAAGATATATCATGTGTATTCCTTGAAGGGGAACCAGGACCCTGCCCCAAGGCTGCACTATTGTTTCTTGACTGCTCTCCCCTCGTCTCTTCATTCCCTGATTAGCACGTTTGAACCTACCCTTCGGAACTCAGGGAAGGGGACACAGAAAGGCTTTTGTGCCCAAGAGCCCCACAGAGTCCTGCTTGGTTTCAGGCTCCTCCCAGGCATGGGCGTATGGATGCATTCACTTCTGCCTCTGGGATGCCTGATAAATGAGTGGCTGGATGGGAGGGTGGGTGGATGGATGGGAGGACAGGTGAATGGGTAGATACAAGTGTGGATGAATGGGAGAGGGGTGATTATTTTACAAGATTTAAGGATTCTTTTGCTAAGGAGAGACCATACAATGACACTCAGATAGATGAAAAGCAGCAGATTTTGTTACTTACAGATCCAAAGGAGAGAAGGCTTCCAGGCAGGGCCACACAGGGGTTGTACCAGGGACATGGAAACAGCAAGCTGGAACTGTGAGAGAGCTTATGTAGAGCAAGGAGGATGGGTTAGGCAGCTTTCTCAGGCTCCCTGTGGATTGGCTAATCTGATTAATTTTGCAAATTCCGGGGTATGGGGCTGTCCATAGGTGTTTGGCACCTGGCCCCAGTGTGGCCTGAAGTGTGAGAGCCTGAGAAAACAAGTGATGGGAATGTGATCCTAGCTGTTCAAGAAGAACCGATCAGCTCCCAGCCAGGACTTCAAAACTGAGTCAAGATAGCATCCCCTTTCCCCTACCAACAAACTATATTACAGTGGTGGACGGAGATTTCTACAGATGGACGGATGCCTGCTGGGGCTCTCTCAGTCAACGGTATTTACAGAAGCATTGGCACTGGATTCAGGCCTTTGAGGATTTTCCAATCCGTAGATGTAGAACCCTAGAATATGTGAGCTGGAAGGGACCTAACCAGGTCTCTGTCTTTCTGACATCCAGGGGTCTCAAGATGTTTTGGATCATCGAAGATCATTTCAACGGTTTGATGCAAACTATAGATCTTCTGTCCCAGAAAAAGCACTGCTCTGTATGCCATGTTAGAGGGCGGGTAGACCCTGGGCGGCTCTGTCCACAGAGCCCTGCCCCCACCTGGAAAGTTGGAAGCCTCAGATTAAGGAGTTCCAGCAGGGCAGAACCAGTCACTGTGCCGAGGAGTCACTGAGACACCATGTTGGGGAAGGGACCGCAATCAAGTTTATGTGACCAGTTTACAGCCAAGCTAGGTCTAAATCCCAGATCTCCCCATAAACCTTTCCAGAGCTTCATTTCCCCATCTCTCTGATGATTTAGTTGTTCAGTCGCTCAGTCGTGTCCAACTCCTTGCGACCCCAAGGACTGCAGCACGCCAGGCCCCCCTGTCCTCCACCAACTCCTGGAGCTTGCTCGACCTCATGTCCCTTGAGTCGGTGATTCCGTCCAACCATCTCACCCTCCGTCGGCCCCTTCTCCTGCTGCCTTCAGTCTTTCCCAGCATCAGGGCCTTTTCCACGGGGTCGCTCTTCACATCAGGTGGCTCTCTGCTGATCAGGTCGGACTCCACAGCTACTTCCCGGGGTGGCTGGAGTTATTCAGAGCACAGGCGGAATGGGGCTTGGCCACATTTCTAACAGGCTACTTGCTTAACTCAGTTCACCTCCCACCATCCACAGCCTTGTTGAGGCAAGGACATAGAAGCCACAGTTATACGATTGTATGAGCTTAGTGGTGCCAGCATATATGCAGACCAGCTGGGTTTGGATATTGAGATGGCTGCTGCAAAGAGTTTCTGCCACCTGCATCTCTTTTCCTCCTTTACCTTGGTCCGCTCACAGATGGCGAGGATGGAAAGTAGGAATTGGGGGACACATTGTCTGGTATGACTTTTTATTTATTTTATAGTAGATCCTTGTTGGCTTTCTGTTTTAGATACAGCAGCGTGTCCATGTCTGTCCCTATCCCTTCCCCCGTCCTTCCCCCTGGTGACCATCAGGTTATCACAGAGTATTGAGCAGAGTTCCCTGTGCTGGCCAGCAGGTCCTTGCTGGTTCTCCATGGTAAACACAGCGGCCTGTCCATGTCCATCCCAGACTCCCTGACCATCCCTTCCCCCATCCTTCCCCCCTGGTGACCATCAGGTTATTACAGAGTCTTGAGCAGACTTCCCTGTGCTGACCAGCAGGTCCTTGCTGGTTCTCCATGGTAAACCCAGCCGTGTGTCCAAGTCCGTTCCAAAGTCCCAATCCCTCTCCCCTACCCCCGGGAAAATGTTCTCTAAGTTTGTGACTCTTTCTGTTTTGAAATAGTTTCATTTGTATCAGGTTTTTTTTTTTGTTTGTTTGTTTGTTTAGATTCTGCGTTTGAGTGGTATCATCCATACTTGTCTTTCTGTCTGACTCTCTTCACCGAAGGGCATGATGAGTGAAAGTGTTTGATCAGGACCAATCCGTCCTGGCTTTCTGCCCAGTGTAGACGACAGGGCAGATGTCCATGACCTCACGCCCAGGACTTGTGAGTGTGCTCCCCTGTATAGAAAATGGCCCTTTCTTGATGGGCGTGAATCACAAATATTGAGGTGGGGGATATTATACCGGGTCATCCAGGGGGCTCGAAACCAATCACACGTCCTCAGACTGGAGAACCCCTCCTGCCCATGGGCAGAAGGAGAGGAGATTATGGAAAATGACCTGAAAGATGCAGTGTTCGTGGCTTTGGCGATGACGGAAGTGGGGGCTGCAAGCCGGGGAAGGCGGGTGTCCTCTCAGAGCTGGGAAAGGCAGGAAACAGACCCTTTCCTAGGCATCCACAAGGACCGAAGCCCTGCCAACATCTGGCTTTTAGTGCCCCGAGACCCACATCAGCGTTCTGACCTACAGACCTGTCAAGTAGCAAATTTGCATTTCTCAGCCTCCGGGTTTGTGGTCACTGGATACCGCAGCAACAGAAAATTGATACAGTCAGCTGGAAGGATGGGGGTGAGCTGAGGAAGAAGTTAAAAAGCCAATTATAGATCTGTAACATATTTGGAGGTGATTATTGGATATTCAATGTACATGTGCCTATGCAGTATAAGCACAAACAGATGCAAAAACGATATCCACCGAAAAGGCAGCATTTACAATTGTGTTTCTAGAATGTACATGTTGTTATATATTGTTATAGACGCTACGCAGCTGCATTACTGTTATAGTGCTAGCCACTCACTGTGTCGCAACCCATTGTGACCCCATGGACTGTAGCCCGCCAGGCTCCTCCGTCCATGGGATTTCCCAGGCAAGAATCCTGGAGTGGGTTGCCATTCCCTTCTCCAGGGGACCTTCCCAACCCAGGGATCGAACCTGGGTCTCCTGCATTAGAGGCAGGTTCTTTACCTTCTGAGTCACCGGGGAAGCCCTAGTATTATTGTTTCTTAGTTACAATTCATGACTGGTGCAATTAGTCTGTGCAGTGGTGAAGACAGATCTTTCTTTCTACCTTAGGAGAGTCAACTCAATGGACATGTTTCTCGTGGGCAAGAGTCGTATTTCTCAGGAAATAGCTGCTTCATTGGTGTCGATTCCATTTTAACTAGATTTCTCATGCATCTTTACTTAGAAATATTCCATGCTATAATGCGTAACATTACCCTATTCATTTTCCTTTGCTGCCTTAACAAGGAGCCCCAAACTTTGGAGTTTGCACCAGTTTTGACTTTACTATTTGGAATTCTCCAGGTTAGCAGTGACACGGCTGGGTCCTGTGCTCACGGGGGTCATGAGCCTAAATCAAGGTCTTTGCCAGCCGGCTGGCCTCTCATACGAAGATTCTGCTGCGGGAGAATCAGCTTCTTAACTCACTCAGCTTAAGTCCGGATTCAGTTCCACGTGCCACGGGAGAGCCGTCTCTCTCGGTCCGTGCTGACTGTCAGCTAAGGTTGTTCCCTGTTTCTGGAGAGCCCAGAATTCTTGGCCTTGGGGTTTTCTTTCTGGCCTTCCAAGGCAGCCACCACAGGTAGAATGCCTCTCAGGCTTCCAGGCTGTCAGACCCCCAGTGGTCTCATGCCTTCCTATAGCTAGATCCTCTGCGTGTAACCTTTTTCCAGTGGTCATGTATCGATGTGAGAGTTGGACTGTAAAGAAAGCCGAGCGCCGAAGAATGGATGCTTTTGAACTGTGGTGTTGGAGAAGACTCTTGAGAGTCCCTCAGACTGCGAGGAGATCCAACCAGTCCATCCTAAAGGAGATCAGTCCTGGGTGTTCATTGGAAGGGCTGATGCTGAAGCTGAAACTCCAATACTTTGGCCACCTAATGCAAAGAGCTGACTCATTAGGAAAAAACCTTGATGCTGGGAAAGATTGAGGGCAGGCAGAGAAGGGGACGACAGAGCATGAGATGGTTGGATGGCATCGCTGACTCAATGGACATGAGTCTGGGTAGACTCTGGGAGTTGGTGATGGACAGGGAGGCCTGGCGTGCTGCAGTCCATGGGGCCGCAAAGAGTCGGACACGACTGAGTGACTGAACTGAACTGCTTGTAACCGCATAAAGCCACACAGCGAATCCACGATGAAATTCCCATCTTTGGATTAATGCCATCTTAAGGTTGAAGCTGTTTGCCAGTCCGTCATGCCACGTGAGAGCCCATGGTCTCACTCTGGGGGGGATCAAGACATGGACTGTCCTTGGGGACTGCAGTTTTATCGATATCATACACGAAACACAGTCTGGAGTCCCCGACGAGCCAAGCCATAGGATGCAAAGGCAGCTTCCTCTCCAGCCTTTCCCTGCTGGATTGTTTAAGAAAGCAGGTCCTCAGGGCTATTAGTAAAAGGGTCTGGTTGGCTGCAGAACAAGAAGAAAGCTCTAAATTCAGCTCTAAATAAGATGATGCTTGCAGCATTTCATGCAGCGGGTGGTTGCACCCCGCCCCCCTTCAGAGGGAGAGCCTATTAATGACTGTATTGGGTCATCATCACAAATGAAAAGTGAGCCCTCCATTTTTCTCTTCTTTTGCTTCCTGCCCAGTGTTTGGAAGATCATCTCGATCTGTTATGGTCTAATTTTCTGCGGATTCCAGTTTTTTCTTTTCTGTGAAGATATACCCTTACGTAATACTTCTGGCTATCTCAGCCAACGTTCTTAAAATATAATGCATAATTATAGGATGAGTATATTTACAATTTGGGATTAGATTTTCCTGGGCTCCAAAATGGTCCGTGATTTAATGCTACTTTTTTTTCCCCCCAGTGTCTTTCTAGGTACATGTAAGTCTAAATTGGATGAGGCTGAAACTATTATTTATTGAAAATCTTTGATAGGTCAGGTTTGTGACAGGTGATAGCATCTGATCTTTATAAGAATTTTCTGAGTATGTAGTTAATATTTCTACCTTACAGGTGAGGAGACTTGAGTTGAGAGATTCAGTTGGGTCCTTTTCTCTAGGGCACTGAGCTGTCCATTAGAATCACATTCACGAGTGACTCCAGAGAGACATAGATACTGAACGTCTGCCCGTCAGTCTGTATCCATAGATTTCTCTCTCTCCCACCCTCCCTGTCCGTCCATCTCTGTCTCTGGGTTTACCTGTCTATCTCTGTGTATCATCCACACAACTGTCCATCAACATTATAATTATATCTGTCCATTAGGGATGTGCTTCTTGCAGTACTGGTGTTGTGAAAATGGAGTTCTGCATTGTCCTCCCATCTTTACGTGGTTGTCAAGGCCCCTTTTTAACAGTTTGTTATCTAAATACGCCTGTGGGTGTGTGTCTGTGCATCTTTGTGTGTTTGTGTGTATGTGTGTGTCTGTGTATATGTGTGTGTGTGTCTGTGTATGTGTGTGTTAGAGAGAGGATCAGCTCCCAGCTGAGCCCGTCTGCATCTGCCCTCAGCGGGACCCCAGTTCCACTCGGGTCTGTACCAGGTCCAGTGACTCACGAGCACTGGGCCGCAGGCACCTGGAGAGGCGCCCCCGGGCAGACTGGGGCACTCAGCCCCTGAATGCTCCAGGCCGGTCCAGCCCTGGGGCCCGCAGGCCGGGGCCTGCGCCCCAGCACTCAGCCGCTGTGGGCTCCGCCTGGAGGCGCCGGGGCGGCTCCCGCTCGGGGACAGACCCGCATCTACGGACGCACGTCCTGCTGCACGCTCTCTGCGGCTGTCTCTCTGCGCTTCCGGAAGTGGCCCCAAGAGACGCGGTTCGCATCTGGCACAGTGAGCTCTTGGCTCGAGATCCATGATTCTCATCACCTCCCACCCCCAATCCCCTCTTTTACCCTAAACAGGGGAGCCGCAGGTTGCTGTTAATAGCCGCTTTAGAGAAACATTGCAAGCCATCACCGATTCCCCATTCCCTGTTTGACCTGTTGGCCTGCTATCCCAACCATCGGGGCTTTATTCACCTCTTGAGAAGCTGCTCTCTGTAGGTCCAGCACATAGGACGCTGTGGGAGCTTCCCAGACCATCTTCCATGTGTTTCTCAGCGAATTACACCTGCTTCTCGGGAGGGAGAGTGTTGAACCACTCCTGGTGGCCTCGTGAATCGGGGCCACGTTGCTCTCAACAGGGCACATTTTCCTTGAACCAGGTGTTTTTTTTTTTTTTTTTTTTTTTTTTGCTACCCTTTGCTGCTTTGAGCATCACCACTGTTTCTCTTCTCTTTGTGCTTCCTTTGGTAATTTTCATCAGGTTCTAGAGGTTTTGTTAAATATGACTAGAGGGCTGAGTTCTCTTCTGAAGTGTTTATATTCCCCCAAATGTTTGCACTTGTTTTTTTAGCCAAGTTTGAGAGAGCTGGGAGGTGAACCTCGTCTCCCTTCAGACACAATCACTTGTGTGATTGGCTCCGCTTCTGTCTCCTTGCTAACGAGGCATTGCCCGCATCTCTTGCTGTTTCCTGTGTTTTTGGTCTTTTGTCATATGATTATTGTCTTATTTGCGTGTATCTTACAGATTGGAAAGCAGATCCTCCTTTTAAAAATGTGCTTGTGGTTCTGTTTTCATTTTTTTTTACATATTTATTTTATATCAGAGTATACTTAATTAACAATGTAGTGATCGTTTTAGGTGTTCAGCAAAGTGATTCAGTTGATATGTATCCATGTACCCATTCTTTTCAGATTATTTTCCCGTTTAGGTTGTTACATAATATCCAACAGAGTTCCCCGTGCCGTCCAGCAAGTCCTTGCTGGTTCTCCATGTTAAACACAGCCGTGTGTCCACGTCCATCCCAGACTCCCTGACTGTCCCTCTCCCATCCTTCCCCCTGGTGACCATCAGGTTATCACAGAGTATTGAGCAGACTTCCCTGAGCTGGCCAGCAGGTCCTTGCTGGTTCTCCATGTTAAACACAGCAGCGTGTCCATGTCCATCCCAGACTCCCTGACTGTCCCTTCCCCCATCCTTCCCCCTGGTGACCATCAGGTTATTACAGAGTACTGAGCAGAGTTCCCTGTGCTGGCCAGCAGGTCCTTGCTGGTTCTCCATGTTAAACACAGCCGTGTGTCCACGTCCATCCCAGACTCCCTGACTGTCCCTCCCCCATCCTTCCCCCTGGTGACCATCAGGTTATCACAGAGTATTGAGCAGAGTTCCCTGTCCTGGCCAGCAGGTCCTTGCTGGTTCTCCATGTTAAATACAGCCATGTGTCCATGTCCATCCCAGACTCCCTGACTGTCCCTCCCCCATCCTTCCCCCTGGTGACCATCAGGTTATCACAGAGTATTGAGCAGAGTTCTCTGTGCTGGCCAGCAGGTCCTTGCTGGTTCTCCATGTTAAACACAGCCGTGTGTCCACGTCCATCCCAGACTCCCTGACTGTCCCTCCCCCATCCTTCCCCCTGGTGACCATCAGGTTATCACAGAGTATTGAGCAGAGTTCCCTGTCCTGGCCAGCAGGTCCTTGCTGGTTCTCCATGTTAAATACAGCCATGTGTCCATGTCCATCCCAGACTCCCTGACTATCCCTTCCCCCATCCTTCCCCCTGGTGACCATCAGGTTATCACAGAGTATTGAGCAGAGTTCTCTGTGCTGGCCAGCAGGTCCTTGCTGGTTCTCCATGGTAAACACAGCAGCGTGTCCATGTCCATCCCAGACTCCCTGACTATCCCTCCCCCATCCTTCCCCCTGGGGACCATCAGGTTATTACAGGGTATTGAGCAGAGTTCCCTGGGCTGTCCAGTGGGTCCTTGCTGGTTCTCCATGGTAAACACAGCAGCGTGTCCATGTCCATCCCAGACTCCCTGACTGTCCCTCCCCCATCCTTCCCCCTGGTGACCATCAGGTTATCACAGAGTATTGAGCAGAGTTCCCAGGGCTGGCCAGCGGGTCCTTGCTGGTTCTCCATGTTAAACACAGCCGTGTGTCCACGTCCATCCCAGACTCCCTGACTGTCCCTCTCCCATCCTTCCCCCTGGTGACCATCAGGTTATCACAGAGTATTGAGCAGACTTCCGTGAGCTGGCCAGCAGGTCCTTGCTGGTTCTCCATGTTAAACACAGCCGTGTGTCCACGTCCATCCCAGACTCCCTGACTGTCCCTCTCCCATCCTTCCCCCTGGTGACCATCAGGTTATCACAGAGTATTGAGCAGACTTCCCTGAGCTGGCCAGCAGGTCCTTGCTGGTTCTCCATGGTAAATACAGCCATGTGTCCATGTCCATCCCAGACTCCCTGACTATCCCTCCCCCATCCTTCCCCCTGGGGACCATCAGGTTATTACAGGGTATTGAGCAGAGTTCCCTGGGCTGTCCAGTGGGTCCTTGCTGGTTCTCCATGGTAAACACAGCAGCGTGTCCATGTCCATCCCAGACTCCCTGACTGTCCCTTCCCCCATCCTTCCCCCTGGTGACCATCAGGTTATTACAGAGTACTGAGCAGAGTTCCCTGTGCTGGCCAGCAGGTCCTTGCTGGTTCTCCATGTTAAACACAACCGTGTGTCCACGTCCATCCCAGACTCCCTGACTGTCCCTCCCCCATCCTTCCCCCTGGTGACCATCAGGTTATCACAGAGTATTGAGCAGAGTTCCCTGGGCTGTCCAGTAGGTCCTTGCTGGTTCTCCATGTTAAACACAGCAGGGTGTCCACGTCCATCCCAGACTCCCTGACTGTCCCTCCCCCATCCTTCCCGCTGGTGACCATCAGGTTATCACAGAGTATTGAGCAGACTTCCCTGAGCTGGCCAGCAGGTCCTTGCTGGTTCTCCATGTTAAACACAGCAGCGTGTCCATGCCCATCCCAGACTCCCTGACTGTCCCTTCCCCCATCCTTCCCCCTGGTGACCATCAGGTTATTACAGAGTACTGAGCAGAGTTCCCTGTGCTGGCCAGCAGGTCCTTGCTGGTTCTCCATGTTAAACACAGCCGTGTGTCCACGTCCATCCCAGACTCCCTGACTGTCCCTCTCCCATCCTTCCCCCTGGTGACCATCAGGTTATCACAGAGTATTGAGCAGACTTCCCTGAGCTGGCCAGCAGGTCCTTGCTGGTTCTCCATGGTAAATACAGCCATGTGTCCATGTCCATCCCAGACTCCCTGACTATCCCTCCCCCATCCTTCCCCCTGGGGACCATCAGGTTATTACAGGGTATTGAGCAGAGTTCCCTGGGCTGTCCAGTGGGTCCTTGCTGGTTCTCCATGGTAAACACAGCAGCGTGTCCATGTCCATCCCAGACTCCCTGACTGTCCCTCCCCCATCCTTCCCCCTGGTGACCATCAGGTTATCACAGAGTATTGAGCAGAGTTCCCTGGGCTGTCCAGTAGGTCCTTGCTGGTTCTCCATGTTAAACACAGCAGGGTGTCCACGTCCATCCCAGACTCCCTGACTGTCCCTCCCCCATCCTTCCCCCTGGTGACCATCAGGTTATCACAGAGTATTGAGCAGAGTTCCCTGGGCTGGCCAGCAGGTCCTTGCTGGTTCTGCACATTAAACACAGCAGCGTGTCCATGTCCACCCCAGACTCCCTGACTGTCCCTTCCCCCATCCTTCCCCCTGGTGACCATAACTTCATTCTCTGAGTCTGTGAGTCTCTGTTTTATAAACAAGTCATTTTAGTTTTTCAAGACTATAATTGCTGCAGATGGCTCTCCCCGCCTCTCCCAAATTCACATGCTGAAATTCTCACCCACTCTGGGATGCTGTTAGGAAGCGGGGCCTCTGGGAGGTGATGAGGCCACGGGGTGGAGCCCGTGTGAATGGCCTTCCTGCCTTTATAAATGACCTCCAGAGAGGCCCCCGACCCCTTCCAACACAGCAAGGAGACCTCTGTCTGTGGACCGGGAGCCTGGTCCTCACCAGACATGGAACCCGCCGGCACCTTCACCTTGGACTTCCCAGCTCTGTTAACTGTGAGAAGACGTTCTTTATGACCCACCTGCTCTGTGGCCTTTTGTTACAGCTGCCCAGACTGACTGAGACAGTCATCGACCCTATTTTACAAACCTGCATGAACCATGCTGGGAAGAATGCCTGGCTCCTAACAAGGGTCTCAGAAATATCAGTTGCTTTCATTACTGTCAATACTGACATTGTTTAAGATCTCAAACGACACGGTTGTCTTTTACCTCATACTGTATCCAGTGAGGGCAATTTATATTTTATAGACTCGTACCTTCATATTCTTTTCTGTAAAAAGATGGGATTTTGGAAGATTTTAGAAGATGGAACTTTAAGTCCAAATTATTATTATTATTATTTTTTGGTACTAATTGTGTTACAACAAATACACTGATTTTCAGAAACTTAATCATAGCATTTAATTCTTTTGGGTAACCACATTTGACACTTTTTTTGGGGTATAAAACGCTGTGCTTCTCTGGCGTTAATAGATTTGGACCTTGTATCCCATAATTTGGGCTCCCCTGATGACTCAGCCTGTAAAGAATCCACCTGCCAGTGATGGAGACCCGGGTTCGATCCTTGGGTCGTGAAGATCCCCTGCAGGAGGACGTGGCAACCCACCCAAGTATTCTTGCCTGGGGAATTCCCGTGGACAGAGGGGCCTGGTGGGTTACAGCCCGTGGGGTCAGAAAGACTTGGACACGACTGATCCAGTGAGCACAGTGGCTCATCTCATAATTTATACATTCCCGAGTTGTTCTTTGGGTTTCATCTCTGATGAACTAAACTGGATTTTATTTCTGAGAGACGTGTTTGGGCAATTAGAAAACTTCGTGAATTTGTAGAAGTCTTTTCTTCTTTGCCTTTCTTTAGGACAAGACTTCTTGGTTAAATAGAAATGTCTT